GGTTGAGCTTGTTCTCCCTGGTTGGGAGGATCCCGGTTCGAGACCGGCCTGGACACTGAAGCGTGGATGCGTGAAGGAACGGGATCATGATCTGAGACAGGCATCGGGAGCGATCAGATCAGGCGAGAGAAGCTCGGACACGAAGGGGGGAGGCAATATCCACACTCCTCCCCCTGGGGGTTTCTGGGACCATAACCAGCAGCGATTATATTTTACCTCAAATGTTTACTTATACAAAAATATCCAGCCTCAGGACTAAGTCAACAATTTTACAGCTGCTTTTTCCAGATAACCAGTTGCTCCCCCAGGATCATGACTAGGACTCATCCTCCATCCTCTCCACCTGTTGATTTCTTGGAGATCTGACCAGGGTTTGAACCAGTAACCTCTGAACCATGAGGCAGTGCTCATACCAGTGAGCCACAGATCTCTTGACTTTCTCCTGCTGGAACTCATATTTCACTGTTGTGATTCTACAATAAACCAGTTAAAGTCATGTGAGACTCAAACCCACGTCTCTATCGCAGCCTCACACACAGAGAGTGTGTGTTTAACCTCTCGCCCGTCATGACCCGACTCTCACCAGTGAATATAACCAGCAGTGGTGGGATCTGAACACCGGCCATCAGCATTCACACACACCTCCTCATCTCCTGATTCAGTGTTTTGAGCTTTTAGTGTTTGCTGGAGTAAATGATGAAACATAAGCAAAGGTGGGGTTTGAACAAAGGCACGAAACAAACGATCAGCAACTGGGACTGATGATGTGCGGGTGTTGTGGTCTCAATCAGAGCTCTTTTATTCTCATTTACTGAAGACTGACTAAAGGTTAAAGGTGAGATGTTTCCTCACACAGAGACAACATCAGATCATGACTGATTCAATCACGACACACACAGGTCACATGATTCCATTTATTCTGCACACACACTTTATATTCACAGACTGAACGTGCGGCGTATAAATCATCATATTTCTGAAGGTTTGATGGCATCATCATCATCATCATCATCATCACTAGAACGAGACTGCAGGAGGGTTTTGGCCCAATGTCCTTGTGAAACTCAAATAATTAATCTGACATATCCATTACATTTATAAAGCTTCTCTTTTGGCAGTACGATTCAGTACAAAACAATATTATCTTGCTAGTAAATAATAATAATATAATAAAAATCTACAAGCTTGACCCATATTTCTCCCCGTACATTCAAAAGCGGCGGATAAATAATCTGACGGAAGTTCAAGTAGTGAATAATAGATCAAATCAATATTTGCTCCAAGATTCCAGCCGATCGTGGGGATATTGATGTCCATGACGTTACAGTTTTCTCTCCAAGTATAAATATGATCATAAGTATATCTGAGTGTTTCCCGGGATGAAGGCAGAACCGGATGGCACTAGACTACACACTCCTGCGGTGTTCTGGCGGGAACTACAGCGTCAGCGCTCTCGTTTCTCACGCGTGTTCGTCCGCGTCCGAGCCGGCGCCGTTATCGGACGGGTCCAAGAGTTCTTGGCGGCGGCGCATTATGGCAGCGAACTGAGCGCGCTCCGCGGCGTCCTGTAAAAGGTCAGAGGTCAGAGGTCAAAGGTCAGAGGTTGTTGCTCTCATCGAAGGACTCCACGCCAGAATCACTCGCTGCCAGTTTCTCCTGCCGCCTCCTCATGATCTCCTGCAACTCCGAGCCCGAGCTCCTCTACACACACACACACAGAGAGAGAGAGAGACAGCAGTGAGACACACACACACGTCACAACACACACTAGTTAAACAAGATCATACCTCCAAACACCTGCAGCATGATGGAGAGAGAGAGAGAGAGAGAGAGGAAGGGCAGAAATGAGTGAGTGACGATGAAGGTTCAGCATTAAACTAAGGGATTCTGGGAAAAGGGTCTGATCCTGAAACTACGACAGAATCTATTTAAATCTCGGACACACTTTACAGTGAGGTTCACTAGTTACCTACAGTCTCCACACACACCTGAAGTGTTCATCCGAGTCTGTGCCGACACCAGAACGCCTAGTGTTCAATATTCATGTATAACTTTGATGAAAGGTTTTGATCCACTTCAGATGTGGACGACTGTACATTAGCATGAACTAATAACTGCACTGCATTTATTAATCTTTCTTTAAGTATTTGTTCATTTCAACATATACTAACACTTTATTAAAATCTTGTTAGCATTAGTTAATGCAGTGTGAACTAACATGAACACACAATGAACAGCTGTAACTAACATGAACAAAGATTCATAAATACTGTAACAAATGTGTTGCTCATTGTTAGTTCATGTTAGTTAATACATTAATTAATGAACCTTATTGTAAAGTGTAACCTAAATCTCATTTACAAGAAAACAAAACAAAATGTGCTGTTGAAGGGAAACACACACAGTATAGCGGCTGAAAGTTAAACTAGTCGAGGTGTAAAAGTTACTGAGTGTTTTTTGCACTGTTAAACTCTAACTCTATGGATAAACTAATTATTCATGGAGAAATGACTGGAATAACAGCAGACTGACTGGATTACAGAAGTAAACTCACGTTTTTTCCAACAGACTTAAAAAAAAAAAATTAGGCAATATTCAGTTGAACACACGTTTGGATGAGAATCAAGAATTGTTTTCAAATGCAATTTGTATTGTATAAAGTGCTATAGAAATAAATCTGACTTGACTTAAGTATTTATTTATTGCTTCTATAGTTTCAAATACAGTTTCAGAAGGTTAGTTGCATACCTATATAAACATCCTTATGTTATTGAGGATTATTAAGTATCATATTTCAATGCGAACAGAATTTTCTACTTCATTGGAATGGTACGAAACTCTGTAAAGATCAGCCTCACACGCGGAGCACCACCAGTGTAGAGTTATGGCTCTCATTTACTCACAGTTTTAGAGGAAAACGTGATTTTGAAAATATATTTCATATAAAAATTTAAATAGTATTTTTGTGCATTTTTCATAACAATACACGTAAAATTCTGTTACTTTTTTTAGTTCACTTTTTAAAACGTTTCTCACTTCAGCAATAATCTGCGAGTGTGTGTTTGAGAAGAGATCAAACTTCAGTCTGTCCTCTAAAGCGCTAGAGATTCACCAGTCTCAGCTGGAGATTACATTTTCAGGTCTATGCTCAAAAAGTGAATAAATGGATTATAAATACAGCGTAAATGTAATTTAGTATAAAAAAATCCCCTAAAAATACAAAATATTAAATAAAAAACATTATCAAACTAAAATATAGAACATTTATTTCATTGGCAAAAAAAACAAAAACATTTTTGTCCGACACGCGAAGAGCCCCAGACCTGTAAGAGTTCTTACTAAGTTAGGAAATGTTATTTCTGAATGTCCAGAATGTGTGTTTAAAGTGTGTGTTCTTGGTTCTGTGAACGTTATCATTCTCACACATTATGGAACGTTACTTTTGAATCTCAACGCTCTGAAACAAATAGTAACATTTTAATAAACCGTTAGACGAACGTTCCAGGAGGTATCAATAATGTTTCTGAGCTTCTAGCCTCACTACGATCAGCTAAAGTACCTTCAGAGGAACGTGGAGCACATGTGAAGATCATGGGAGGCTCAGAAGAAAACCTGCAGACAGTAAAAACACCACAGAGACCAGCGACACTCGCCAGCGTTGAGCAAAACCAGTTCAACTAACCAGCGGATCGATCGGGAGACTCGACGTCAGGGAACACTATCACTGTTATTCTGAGGGAGGGTGTGATGCTGCGGTGATGCGACACACACACAGGGTTCCCACACACACACACACACACACAGGGTTCCCACACACACACACACACACACACACACAGGGTTCCCACACACACACACACACACACACAGGGTTCCCACAGACACACACACACAAACACACAGGGTTCCCCCACACACACACACACACAGGATTCCCACAGATGGCAAGGTACAACACAAAGCACCTCACACGGGAAACACTTAACGTGACGCGTAAATGAGTGTAACTAGCGTAAATCAAGCAAGCTCGTGCGCATAGGCCATGCAGTGTTGGTGGAATAACACATTAGCGGAGCGGACGGAATAATAGCCAAATTTATCCAGAAAACTTCTCACACAGAATAAAGTCAAGCACTTTCATCTGTATCTGTGTGTTTATTTTCAAGAACTTTCAAAAGCCTTGAATTATTATTATTTTTCAGATTCACAAACTTTGAAGGATTTCGAGGAGGCGTGGGAACCCTGCACAGAGACACCAGCAGAAGAGGAGGGTAGAGAGGGATGAGGAGAGGAGGGTAGAGAGGGCTGAGGAGAGGAGGGTAGAGAGGGATGAGGAGAGGAGGGTAGAGAGGGATGAGGAGAGGAGGGTAGAGAGGGATGAGGAAGAGGAGGGTAGAGAGGGATGAGGAGAGGAGGGTAGAGAGGGATGAGGAGAGGAGGGTAGAGAGGGATGAGGAGAGGAGGGTAGAGAGGGATGAGGAGAGGAGGGTAGAGAGGGCTGAGGAGAGGAGGGTAGAGAGGGATGAGGAGAGGAGGGTAGAGAGGGATGAGGAGAGGAGGGTAGAGAGGGCTGGGAAGAGGAGGGTAGAGAGGGATGAGGAGAGGAGGGTAGAGAGGGCTGAGGAGAGGAGGGTAGAGAGGGATGAGGAGAGGAGGGTAGAGAGGGATGAGGAGAGGAGGGTAGAGAGGGCTGGGAAGAGGAGGGTAGAGAGGGATGAGGAGAGGAGGGTAGAGAGGGATGAGGAGAGGAGGGTAGAGAGGGATGAGGAGAGGAGGGTAGAGAGGGATGAGGAGAGGAGGGTAGAGAGGGCTGGGAAGAGGAGGGTAGAGAGGGATGAGGAGAGGAGGGTAGAGAGGGATGAGGAGAGGAGGGTAGAGAGGGCTGAGGAGAGGAGGGTAGAGAGGGCTGAGGAGAGGAGGGTAGAGAGGGCTGAGGAGAGGAGGGTAGAGAGGGATGAGGAGAGGAGGGTAGAGAGGGATGAGGAGAGGAGGGTAGAGAGGGCTGGGGAGAGGAGGGTAGAGAGGGATGAGGAGAGGAGGGTAGAGAGGGCTGGGGAGAGGAGGGTAGAGAGGGATGAGGAGAGGAGGGTAGAGAGGGCTGAGGAGAGGAGGGTAGAGAGGGCTGAGGAGAGGAGGGTAGAGAGGGCTGAGGAGAGGAGGGTAGAGAGGGCTGAGGAGAGGAGGGTAGAGAGGGCTGAGGAGAGGAGGGTAGAGAGGGCTGGGAAGAGGAGGGTAGAGAGGGATGAGGAGAGGAGGGTAGAGAGGGATGAGGAGAGGAGGGTAGAGAGGGCTGGGGAGAGGAGGGTAGAGAGGGATGAGGAGAGGAGGGTAGAGAGGGATGAGGAGAGGAGGGTAGAGAGGGATGGGGAGAGGAGGGTAGAGAGGGATGAGGAGAGGAGGGTAGAGAGGGATGAGGAGAGGAGGGTAGAGAGGGCTGAGGAGAGGAGGGTAGAGAGGGATGAGGAGAGGAGGGTAGAGAGGGCTGAGGAGAGGAGGGTAGAGAGGGATGAGGAGAGGAGGGTAGAGAGGGATGAGGAGAGGAGGGTAGAGAGGGCTGAGGAGAGGAGGGTAGAGAGGGCTGAGGAGAGGAGGGTAGAGAGGGCTGAGGAGAGGAGGGTAGAGAGGGATGAGGAGAGGAGGGTAGAGAGGGATGAGGAGAGGAGGAGAGGAGGGTAGAGAGGGCTGAGGAGAGGAGGGTAGAGAGGGATGAGGAGAGGAGGAGAGGAGGGTAGAGAGGGCTGAGGAGAGGAGGGTAGAGAGGGATGAGGAGAGGAGGGTAGAGAGGGATGAGGAGAGGAGGGTAGAGAGGGATGAGGAGAGGAGGGTAGAGAGGGATGGGGAGAGGAGGGTAGAGAGGGCTGGGGAGAGGAGGGTAGAGAGGGATGAGGAGAGGAGGGTAGAGAGGGATGAGGAGAGGAGGGTAGAGAGGGCTGGGGAGAGGAGGGTAGAGAGGGCTGAGGAGAGGAGGGTAGAGAGGGATGAGGAGAGGAGGGTAGAGAGGGATGAGGAGAGGAGGTTAGAGAGGGATGAGGAGAGGAGGGTAGAGAGGGATGAGGAGAGGAGGGTAGAGAGGGCTGGGAAGAGGAGGGTAGAGAGGGATGGGGAGAGGAGGGTAGAGAGGGCTGGGAAGAGGAGGGTAGAGAGGGATGAGGAGAGGAGGGTAGAGAGGGCTGGGGAGAGGAGGGTAGAGAGGGCTGGGGAGAGGAGGGTAGAGAGGGATGAGGAGAGGAGGGTAGAGAGGGATGAGGAGAGGAGGGTAGAGAGGGATAGGGAGAGGAGGGTAGAGAGGGCTGGGGAGAGGAGGGTAGAGAGGGCTGGGGAGAGGAGGGTAGAGAGGGATGAGGAGAGGAGGGTAGAGAGGGCTGAGGAGAGGAGGGTAGAGAGGGATGGGGAGAGGAGGGTAGAGAGGGCTGAGGAGAGGAGGGTAGAGAGGGATGAGGAGAGGAGGGTAGAGAGGGATGGGGAGAGGAGGGTAGAGAGGGATAGGGAGAGGAGGGTAGAGAGGGCTGGGGAGAGGAGGGTAGAGAGGGCTGGGAAGAGGAGGGTAGAGAGGGCTGAGGAGAGGAGGGTAGAGAGGGATGAGGAGAGGAGGGTAGAGAGGGATGAGGAGAGGAGGGTAGAGAGGGATAGGGAGAGGAGGGTAGAGAGGGCTGGGGAGAGGAGGGTAGAGAGGGCTGGGAAGAGGAGGGTAGAGAGGGATGAGGAGAGGAGGGTAGGGAGGGATGAGGAGAGGAGGGTAGGGAGGGATGAGGAGAGGAGGGTAGGGAGGGATGAGGAGAGGAGGGTAGAGAGGGATGAGGAGAGGAGGGTAGGGAGGGATGAGGAGAGGAGGGTAGAGAGGGCTGGGGAGAGGAGGGTAGAGAGGGATGAGGAGAGGAGGAGAGGAGGGTAGAGAGGGCTGAGGAGAGGAGGGTAGAGAGGGCTGAGGAGAGGAGGGTAGAGAGGGCTGAGGAGAGGAGGGTAGAGAAGGCTGAGGAGAGGAGGGTAGAGAGGGCTGAGGAGAGGAGGGTAGAGAGGGCTGGGGAGAGGAGGGTAGAGAGGGATGAGGAGAGGAGGAGAGGAGGTACAGCCACTAGTCACCTCGAGAGCCGCTTTCTGCACGCTGATCTGACTGAACACTCGCGCTCCGTCGTCAGGACACACCGTCTTCAGCTCGTCCTTATTCAGGGAGAACAGCTGAGCGCCCGTCAGCACACCCAGACTGGTGATCGTCCTGCGGGATACACATGAGGACCATCAGACTAACCAACTGCGTGTGTGTGTGAGTGTGAGTGTGTGTGTGAGTGTGTGTGTCACTCACACAGCGCTGAAGCCCTTGAGCTGAAGCCAGGCCGTCACCTCCTCCGGCGTGGAGTCGTACGTGATGTTGAGCGCCGGGAGACTTGTGGATCGAGACGGAGCCGAGAGTTTCTTCTGAGCGCTTCGACCCAGAGTCAGTCTGTGCATCAACTCATCCTGAACCTCCTCCATGTTCGACTTACGCCCTGAGGAACACAATCA